GGACACAGGGATGAGGACAGGGTGGCAGAGGGGTGGGGACAAGGGGCAGGGTGACCCAGAGATGGGGACATTGGGTGGGTTGGCAAAGGGCCGGGGGACATGAGGTCGTGGTGATCCGGAGAAAAGGGATGTGAGGACGGGTGGCATGTGGGGCTGAGGGTCATGGGGACAGGGTGGCATTGTAACAGGGGACAGGGGGACATGGCAACAGGGAGCTGGGGGACACTGGATGCGGTGGCATGGAGATGGAGACATGGGGGACAGGGAACACAGGGAAAGGGGGCACAGGGATGGTGGACATGTGGCAGGGGGCTGAGGGACATGGGGGACAGGGGACATGAGATTGAAGTGGGAGGGGGGTGGGGGCCATGGGGACAGGGGGTTATGGAGACAGGGGACATGGGGACACACAGGGGTGGGTGGCCCAGGGATGGGAGATGTGGTGACGGGGGGCTGGGGTCACAGGGACATGATGGCACAGGGATGGGAGATGTGGTGACGGGGCCTGGGGTCACAGGGACATGATGGCACAGGGATGGGAGATGTGGTGACAGGGGCTGGGGACATGGGGATGTGATGGCATGGGATTGGGGGACACAGGAACACGGGGCTGGGGTGACACCCTATGACTTTGTGTGTCCCCATGTCCCCAGTTCCCCACACTGGTCCTGAAGCTGGGGCTGCTCCTCGGGGGGGGACACTTGGTGGCTTTGGGGACCATGACCCCTGGGGAGCTGGTCACCATCCTCATGTGCCACCTGCAGTTCACCAGGGCCGTGGAGGTGAGGAGCGTGTCCCCACTGTGTCCCCAACCCCTTCCTGCTGTGTCCCCAACCCCTTCCCACTGTGTCCCCAACCCATTCCCAATGTGTCCCCAACCTGTCCCCCGTGTGTCCCCAGTATGTCCCCAATGTGTCCCTATCCTGTCCCCAACCCCATTATTCCCCATGTCACTGTCCTCCCATGTCCCCCTCTCATGTCCCCGTGTCCCCACACCCTCCCAACCGTATTCCCTTGTCCTCCTGGCCACGTCCCCATCCCTGTCCCCTCTATCCCCACCCCAGCCCAGATGTGTCCCCTCCATGTCCTCAGGTCCTCCCTGTGTCCCCTCACTGTGTCTCAGTGTGTACTGCCATGTCCCCACAGGGCCTCCCTGTCCCCTGCCGTGTCCCTCTGTCCCCATTCTTGTCCCCACTGTCTCCCCCCATCCCCTGCTGTGTCCCTGTGTCCCCACCCCTGTCCCCACTGGGTATCCCCATACCCTGCTGTGTCCCTGTGTCCCCATCCATGTCCCCATGCCTGTCCCAGCCATGTCCCCCTCCACATCCCCAGTGTCCCCCCTGCTGTATCCCCATCCATGTCCCCAACCCTTTCTGGCTGTGTCTCCATCCCTGTCCCCACGCCTGTGTCCCCCACACCTCCTCAAAGCCCCCCCGATGTCCCCATGTCCCCAGTCCCTGCCTGGCTGTGTCCCCACCCCTGTCCCCATGCCCATGTCCCTCCAAGCCCCCCAATGTCCCCATGTCCCCCCATGTCCCTCAAAGACCCCGGTGTCCCCGTGTCCCCAGTCGCTGCTGTTGCACCTCCCGGTCCTGGCCAAGGCCGTTGGCTCCTCTGAGACGCTCCTGGAGCTGCTGGACGAGGCCAAGAAGGTGACAGCGCTGGGGACACCGTCCCCTGTCACCCCCGGGGACCAGGGGGGCTCCAGCACGCCGGGACTGTGTCTCAAGGATGTCACCGTGACCTACCCCGGGCGGGCCGAGCCCATCCTCAAGGTGACATGGGGAGGGCATGGGGGGACTTGGGGGGACACGAGGGGATGTGGGGACATGGGGGGACATGGATGGGACATGGGGGGGACACGGATGGGACATGGGGGACACGGATGGGATGTGGGGCCATGGGGGGCACACGGATGGGACATGGGGGGGACACAGGTGGGACATGGGGACATAGGGGGGCATGGATGGGATGTGGGGGGACACGGATGGGACATGGGGACATGGGGGGACATGAGGGGATGTGGAGGAAGATGAGGGAGATGAGGGACACGGGACATGGAGGGGAGGTGAGGGACATAGGGGGATGTGGATGGGACATGGGGGGTGTGGGAGGTGACATGGGGACATGAGGGACACGGATGGGACATAGGGGTGTGGGGGGACATGGAGACAGGGTAGGGATATGGGGGGACACAGTGGGGATATGGGGGACGTGAGGGGACAGGCTGGGGACACAGGGACAGGGTTCACATGGAAGTGCCATCTCCTATCCTGGTGCTCTCCCCATTCCAAGTGGGATCCCCTCTCCTGGTGCAATCCCTGTCCCAATGTGATCCCCATTATTCCCAGGGAGATCCCCTTTGTTCCCAGTGTGATCCCCTTTGTTCCCAGTATTCCCAGTGTGATCCCCATTATTCCCAGTGAGATACCCTTTGTTCCCAGTGTGATCCCCATTATTCCCAGGGAGGTTGCCATTCCCATTGCGATCTCCCATTGTTCCCATGGCCGTCCCCTCTCCCGTTGATCCTGGTGTGATCCCCATTTCTGGTGCAATCCCTGTTCCTGCTGTTCCCATTCCCAGTGCCATCCCCATCCCCTCTCCTGCCATTCCCATTCCCAGTATGATCCCAATCCCATTCCTGGTGCCATCCCCATCCCATTCCTACTGTCATCCCCATCCCCTGTCCTGCTGTTCCCACCAGTCCCATTCCCAGTTCCATCCCATCCCCTCTCCCACCGTTCCCATTCCCAGTGCGATCCTAATCCCATTCCCGCTACAATCCTGTTCCCATTCCCAGTACAATCCCAATCCCATTCCTGGTGCAGTCCTGTTCCCATTCCTGTACAATCCTGTTCCCATTCCTGGTACGATCCCATTCCCGGTTCCATCCCCTCTCCCGCCATTCCCAATCCCATTCCCGGTATGTTCCCATTCCCAGTACGATCCCATTCCCATTCTCAGTTCGATCCCATCCCCTCTCACATCATTCCCATTCCTGGTTTCATCCTAATCCCATTCCCCGTTCCATCCCATCCCCTCTCATGCCGTTCCCATTCCCAGTGCGATCCCAATCCCATTCCCGGTCCGTTCCCATTCCCGATTCAGTCCCAATCTCGTTCCCATTCCTGGTCCATTCCCATTCCTGATTCAATCCCAATCTCGTTCCCATTCCCGGTAAAATCCCGTTCCCATTCCCGGTTCGATGCCATCCCCATCCCGTTCCCATTCCCTTTCCCAATCCCATTCCCAGTCTGATCCCGTCCCCTCTCCTGCCATTCCCATTCCCATTCCCTTTCCCAGTTCGATCCCATTCCCATTCCTATTCCCGTTCCCATTCCCAATCCGATCCTGTTCCTGTTCCTGTTCCCATTCCCGGTCTGATCCTGTTCCCGGTCCAATCCCATTCCCAGTTCGATCCCATTCCCGATCCCGATCCCAATCCCATCCCATTCCCGCCTCCAGGGGGTGTCTCTGTCCGTGCGTCCCGGGGAGCTCGTGGCGGTGCTGGCGCCCCCTGGCGGCGGGAAGAGCTCCCTGGCGTTGGCCGCACTGGGAGTGCGCCCCCTGGCGGCCGGGGCCGTGCTGCTGGATGGGACCCCCCTGGGCCCCCACGCCGACCCCGCCCTGCGGCGACAGGTGACACCCCCGGGTCACAATGGCCACCCCCGGGTCACCCCCGGGTCCCCACTACCACCCCCAGGTCACCCCCGGGTCACCCTGGGTCCCCACTGCCACCCTCGGGTCACCCCCGGGTAACCCCTGGGTCACCCCGAGTCCCCACTGCCACCCCTGGGTCCCCACTGCCACCCCCGAATCACCCCCTGGTCTCCACTGCCGCCCCCTGTCACCAAACACCCCCTGAGCCCCCCTGTGCAGGTCCTGCCTTGCAGTGACAAGGTGACACCCCGGGCCACCCCTGAGTCACCCCCCAGGCCTCCAGTGCTGTGCCCGGGTCACCCCTGGGTCCCCAGCAGGTTTGCACGGCCACTCCTGCGTCACCCACATGTCCCCTGGGCCACCCCGGGGTCATCAGTGGGTCACCAGCGGGTCTCCATGGCCACCCCCAGGTCTCCAGTGGGTTCCCAACGAGTCCCCAGTGCCACCCCAGAGTCACCAGTGCCTCCCCCTGTGTCACCGTGGTCACTACCATGTCACCCTCTGTCCCTCACGGGTCCCCACGGCCACCCCTGCTGTCCTCTGCCACCACCCCTGGGTCACCGCTGTGTCCCCAGCAGGTCCCCGTGCCCCCCCCCCC